AAGAAGGCAACCATGGTGGATACAGTCTCCTTGTCCTCTTTGGTTTGTAAATAAATTGTGTCCTTGAGAAAAAAATACTTCCTAGAATTTATAATTTTCAGAGAGATCTAACGTGCAAATGATCTGGAACTGAATATTGATTTTTCTCCTTTGTGGTAGTTACTAGTTTGTGGATGAGTTTTTTATTTCTACTATTAAGAACACAAATAAGTATTTCTCTTTTACAAAACAATACGGTGTCCAATTTTTTGAAAGTATCTCCACTGAGGTGGATAGCAAAGTTTGGGCGGTGGAGGGGGAAGCAGATGCCATCCCTGTATTGCCATCCTCTGTCGCTGGGGCTGGGAGGAAACCGCAGCTTGCATCAGAGAGAAGCATTCCCTTTCTAACTCTGTCCTTTGCCCAGACCCAGTGCAGCTTGGGGGCATATGAAAAAATAGATGAACTGAATCAGAATCCAAGGGAAAATGAGTTCATCTGCTTGAGGTTTGTTTTCCAGTTTAGAAATCTCTACATCTGTCAGACAGAGCTGTGTAACTCTGGGGTGATGTATGGTTTGTGCTAATTTGTTAGTCACCCTAGGAGACTAATACAATCAGTACAACATTTTCCCTGTTCTTAAGGAAATTTATAATTTATAACACTGGAGAGGATGGTTAAGGGCCTTAAGAGGTGCGCTAACAGGAGCCTCGAGAGTTTGGGAGCCTCGAGAGAGCCAGAGATCATCTCTGTGAGCAGGAAAGGCCTCAAGCAGGGAGTAGCTTGTGAGTATCCCAAGAGTGGCCTGAATCTGGCAGGTAGAAATGGAGGGTTTGGGAAGGAAGGGTGTTCCAAGCAGAGGGAATTATGGGAGAAAAGGAGCCAAAGCTTAAGATGTTCAGAAGGTGTCAAGTGGTTCAGCTTGGCTAGACTCCAGTTATGGAAGAGAGGTCTAGAAAAGTGAGTTAGTGTTAGAAGGGCCCAGAAACAATGTGTGTATTTTAACATATTTCTATGGCAGAGAAATTTTGAGCTGGTATCAAGATCCTCCAGCCTAGTAATGTTATTTTACAGATAGGAAAGGAAATTAGAGAATTGATTTACCTTACTCAAGCTCAGCTAACTAGATCTCTAACAGAGCCAGGACTAAAATCTAGATCTTTTGTTTAGTAGCCATCTTTGCAGTAAATGTCTGTCTTTCAAACACTCTTTATTCTCTGGGTTGATTTTTAAAATTCTGCTACTAAATATCAATTAACTGTTACTTTTAGAGCCCCATTTATTTATATTCAGTATTAACTACCTATCTGGTTATGGGTTAGAAACACATACAATAAATCTTTTCATAAAATTCCTCGTGGTGTTGCTGGGCTCTCTCCCAACCTCCCCCCCCCCCCCCCCATCTTTCCTGGCCTTCTATAGGCCCCTTGCAGGCGAAGAGCTACGCAAACAGCCAGGCCTCAGTGAATGTTCTGTAATTTAAAATAAGTCCAGAAAATCACCATTTTAAATGTTTTATTTCTAATATTATGCTACATATTGTTTTTCAATATAGAAAATTAAAAATAGAAAAGTGACCCATTTTCTCACTACTCAGTTGCTCCTGTTGACTTTTTTTAAACAAAATACAAGTATAAGAAAACTCAAATACTTAGGAAAATTAAACAGTGTAAATAGCAAGTAGGTACTCTTCTTAATGTGCTCACAAATCTTTCCCTAAATATATATATCACCAACAAATTCTTGTCTGTCTTTCTAGAAAAAAAATTGTGTACAACTGTAGATGATATTTTCATTTTTTTTATTTTTTGAGGAAGATTGGCCCTGAGCTAACATCTGTTGCCAATCTTCCTCTTTTTTTTTCTTCTCCCCAAAGCCCCCCAGTACATGGTTGTATATTCTAGTTGTAGATCCTTCCGGTTGTGCTATGTGGGATGCCGCCTCAGCATGGCTCTACGAGTGGTGCCAGGTTGGCAGCCAGGATCTGAACTGGTGAAGCCCTGGGTGGCCGAAGCAGAGACATGAACTTAACCACTTGGCCACCAGGCTGGTCCCTGTAGATGCTATTTTTAACATGACACTATATACAACATGCTGTGTCTTGATTTTTATTTTCCTTAAAAATATATCTTGGGGGTCGCCCAGCACCATAGTGGTTAAGTTCGCCTAGTTTGCTTCAGCGGCTGGCATTCTGGGTTCAGACTCGGGCACAGACCTATACACGGCTTTTCAAGCCATGTTGGGGCAGTGTCCCACATACAAAATGGAGGAAGATTGGCACAGACATTAGCTCAGGGCCAATCTTCCTCACCAAATAAAAAAATAAACATTAAATATATATATATATATATATGTATATGGAAGCTCTTTCGATATTGCAACCTACAGAACCATTTCTTTTTAAAAGGCTTCCTCAGATTCCATTATAAGGATGTACCATCATTTAGTTAACCAACCCCCTATTATTTCCAGGGTTTTATTACAAACAGTGCTGAGTAATATTTTATACACATATCTAGAATATTTTTGTGAGTGTATCCACAGAGTAAGTTCCTAGCAGTGGAATTATTAGGAACTATCATGTCATTCCCCAGCTAAAAACCCTTTATAAATCCCCACCCCATTGCAGTTAGAATCAAATCCAAATATTTTACCTTGATTTACCAGGCCACCAAGACCTGGCCCCTTCCTGCCTCTCCAACCTGACAATCACTCCTTTATCTGAGTTGGAAACACAGCAGCCCTTTGTCCTTAATCCTGCAAAGTTATTTCTTACCCCAAGGCCTTTGTACTTGCTCTTGCTTCTCGTAACACCGGTCAAGAGGTGGCTGGCTCTTTGTCACTGTGGTTTCAACTCAAAGTCACTTCTCAGTGAGGCCTTCCGGGTTTAAATGAGAATCCCCATCCCTTCACATCACGCTGTTTAAGTTTAATCTTCGCCCTTCACTTTATATGAAATTATTTTGTCTTCCCCCCTGGAATGTGAGCTCCAAAAGAGCAGGAGCCTTGTTTTTCTTCTTCCCCAGAGTCGTGAGAGCACAGAGAGCACAGCTGGAGGAATAGCAGGTGACTGAATGGTCAAAGGATCAGTGGAGCTAAACGGGCCACATAAGCTGCTAAATTGCTTTCCAGACAAGAGCCACCAGTTCCCAGGCCCCTGACAGCACTTAGTACTATCAAACATTTACCCTTTTTTGTAATTGTCCACTTTAAAGGTCAAGAAATAGGGACTTATCTCCCATTTTGGAGTAACTTTTATTCAGACACTGTTAAGAACACATCAGATATTTGTTTTTAACATAACCCCAAATCCATCTTCGGAAAATAAACATGCAATAACAGGCATTATTTGAATAAGAAACAGTAAGTAAATGAGAATTTCTTACACTAGTTTGAAATTGATGAGATAACTATACTGAATAAATTCCTATACTGAATTTAAAAAGTCGAATCCTTTTGCCACAAAAGTAGGACTCGTGCTTGTAAAATGTTTGCTGGATTTTCCCACACTTGATTCCTTTCTCACTTCCCTCCCTTCTTTCATTTCTTTAAGCAGTCATTCATTCACTTTACAACTATTGATTGATTGCTCACAGGCCCAGGTGCTGTGCGAAAATCCTTCTCTCTCATTGGGTCACCCCCACCTTCTAGCCTGATCCTGCTGAGTCTTTTGGCCTGGGCTTTACCTCCAAAGTCAATCAGACTTGTACTGCAGAAGTCTCTAGAAGGACAACCCTTAAATGGAGAGATGAGGAGAGTCCATACATGGAATTGTTGGGAGCACTAACATAAATTAAGCTGCTCATCACCAACCAGTCTAGCCCTTTGATTTACGGAACATTATACTGGATTTTCTAAACTCTTTAATTTCTTAGTATATCTTCCTCCCTTACAGAGATGTTTCTCCCAGTTCTCACTTCTCAGCGGTTCCAGGCACCTGACTTTGAATGAAAATACCCTCTCTTTGGACAACAAGGGAAGTGGGGAGCAGGGTGCTGGAGAAAGAGAATTTTCTTTCTGGTCCTAAAGTCCACCTAGTTTTCAAAGCATGGGTTTCTTATCATTATTATTATAAATTTACAATTACTTCCATAGGTTAGATTATTAGATGCTTTCTTGTCTCATATTTCATTTTTCCGAGCTTGTGGGGAACGAGTGGAGGGGCTGGGGCGGGGGGAGTAGAATATACTTTTCCCTCTGGGAACAGAAAGAGGGGTGTATACGGAAGCTGAGATTAAAACGTTGCTCTGAGACTGGGGGTTCAATAGGGGTCGAAGTTACATTTCGCCCTCTCCTCAAAGATAATTCTGTGCCACCCACCCGTACAATACATAAAGCGAAATTCCTTATGCATACAAATAAAGTTTTTGCATTCGACCACTTGGTCCAGTTCTCTCATCTGCTACCTTCCTTCCCTGCTTTGTCTCAGGTGATTACCTCCACCCCTCAACGTACCCAAACCCTCCACCCAACCTCTCTTCCTCTTCTGGCGACTAGTCACTCTCGACTTTCCATCAGCCTCAACCTCAGCATCGCAGCCGGCACGTGACTGAGGAGCTCTGAGCCCCGGGTTTACCAGAGCCAAAGCCATAGCTCTGGGTTGGGGGCCCTCAGAGTACCGCGGGAGCGGAAGGAGGTGGGAAGCGCAATCTCCTCATGCGTGATCTCGCCTCAGGCTTGCCCGGAGTTCTCCTTGGGAGAGGGCTGGCAGGTTTCACTATTTCCCTCGCCCATTAGCCACGCTCGCAGGTCCGCGCGCCTTGGGGCTGCGCTCTGCATGTTGAAACTTCGTTCAAAGCCAAGGCTGAGCGGCCCACGAGGTGTAACTTGGGGTTGTGGCGACCTCGAGGCCACTTCCTCCCACTCCAAGCCATTCCTCCACTCCCCCAGTCACCTTTGCGTAAACAAAACTGCCCCCACCCCCCCCCCCCACCCAGGGCTGGGGAGGGCTCGCCTTGTCTCGCTCTCCCTCTCAAAGAGTTAATTTTCCGATCGCACGAGGGGGAGGAGATTTCCCTGTAGACGAGTAAAAAGGGTGATGGACAAACGTGCGGGCACTAAGACCGCAGGGCATTCATTTCCTCCTACGGTGGCTGCGGACGCCGGGAGGAGGAGAGCCCGGGAGCGAGGAGGTGCGAGCCGCCGCACAGGCTATGCTCAGCCGTGGATGTAGCTGAGAGGCTGGGAGAGACCGACTGCCGGACACCGAGCAGCCAGGGGAAGACCGAGGGGGGTGGGTGGGGGCAGCAGACAGGAGAGCCCTCGAAATCAAGCGCTTTACAGATTATTTTATTTTGTGTAGAGAACACGTAGCGACTCCGAAGATCAGCCCCGATGAACATGTCAGTGTTGACTTTACAAGAATATGAATTCGAAAAGCAGTTCAACGAGAATGAAGCCATCCAATGGATGCAGGAAAACTGGTAGGTGATGCTTTCGCGTGCTACTGTTCCCGGGAGCCCTGCGCGTCTCCCCGGTGTGCGTTCATGTCGGTATTCACTGTCTGGGGCGCGAATGGAGCGGTGGATCGCGGGCAGCAGCGAGCCCATGGCCGAGGTCCCGGGTCTCCCGGGCGCAGGAGACGCCTGGCTGCATGAGGCGCGTGGGTCACTGGGTGCCCCTGTGTGAACCGAGGCTCCGCATGCATCTTTAACATCGATTATATAACATAGGACATATATGTATACATCCAGTAGAGATGTCTGCAAGACAGGGAGGGCGGGAGAGATGCCACATTCCAGATTCCCTACCTGTGCTGCCTCCTGGTTTTCATCTAGATTTGGGTTTGCGGGCTTGGCCTCCTGCAAGCCGAGTGTGCAAGGCAGTGGAGGGCGGACCCGCTCTCCGGCTCCCTTTAACCCTCTCCCGCCCGCCGGCCTCGGCTCTCTGGTCCTCGCCCTCGCCCCATCCCTCGTGTCCTTCCTTTCTCCTTGCAGCGCTCCTACTTCACTGCCCTCCTCTCTGCCGCTTCCTCCTTTCCTGGACCCCTGTCCCCACGCGGATCCCTTTCCGGTTCCATAACGAGACGGGGCGGGAAGGAGGGGACAAGGAATACAGTCATAAAAATGAATGAACCCGAGCGCGTGGAGCCACGCCATTACCAAGTTTCTGTTTTACGGAAACGCCTTTTGGACACGCTCCGCTCCAGTTCGGTGGGAGGCTGCTGATTGGAGTGAAGACACAGATTTAAAAACCCCTCGATCCGCAGAGTGGTTGGGGGCTCTTCCCTAGACAAACTTCTCCTGGCGGAAAGCATCTCTCTTGTTTACTGTGCTCCCTCCGCCAGTCCTTTGGAAAATCCCTGTGTGGGAGGCGATCCTCTGTCACCTTGCAGTGTGTACACAGGAGAGTGTGCTCATCTCGCCTCTTGTAGACGGCGCTGCTGTGGCAGACATTCCCTCCCTCCTCTTGACCCCGGGGCTGGCGAGCAGTAAAGCGCCAGCCGGGCGCACGCCGGGCCGAGCCCAGCCGGGCCGGGGCGGTCAGCCCCCGGGAGCTGCCTGGGCGGGGCGGGGCGGGCCCGGGCTCGCGTGCCCGCGCGCCCTCGCTCCCTACCTTCCCTCCCCCACTCCTCCAGGGGAAACCGGAGACTCCGGGGCCGGGGCAGGGGGTTGCACCGGGAGGGGGAGCCGCGGGCGGGCGCCGGGGAGGGGGTTCCGCTTCCTCTTCCCTCCGGCCCCTGAGCCGCGACCAGCGCCGGGCGCTTCGGCCGCCGCGCCGCCGCCTCCGGCCGGGCCCCGCTGGCCATTTGCGGCGGCCGCGCGCGCCTGGGCCCGGCCGGGCGGGGCGGCGGGCTGGGCGCTCCCCTGGCTCGGGGTGGCGGGGGCCCGGGGCCGGAAGGCGGGCCGCTCGAAGGCCGGGAGGGCGGTAGGGGCGCGGGCCCGGGGGCCGGAGGGCGGCCTTAGCCTTTGCGGCTGCCGCGCCCGGGCCTGCCGCCGGCCTCCCCCGGTGCACGTCCTCCAGCCGCGGAGCCGGGGCGCGGGGGCCCGGGCGTCTCTGCAGCTGTGCAGCACCCCTCCGGCCACCCCGCGCGTGCCGCTCTGCCTCCCTCGCTGGGCCCGTGTGCTCGTGTTTTCCGTCGGCTGCCGCGTCCCCAGCTTGCGGCACCCTCGTCGAACCTGCCTTGCTGGAGCCGGCTGCCCCCATCCACTGGCCGCCAGCCCAGCCCCTTCCACGACCCTGGGCCATGCTGCCTCTTATTTACTTGTTGCCTTTTCTCTGAGGCCACTTTCGGTGCCTCCTCCAGGTACCATTTCCCGCGTCTTCTCTCCATTCACTCGAGTACACACTGAGCCAGACAGGGCCTCGGCCCTCCCCAGACTGAAAATGGTAAAAATGCGCCAACTTCTTTTCCCCGCTGGGCCCTGACCACTGCTTCCTCCTAGCTCTTTATCTGTTCCTTTCTTCTGGCAGTAGCTTTCCTGGTTTTCTTTATGCACAGGACTCTGTGTATGTCTACCTGTGCCTTCCACATGTCCATTCTGTAGGACCCGGCTCTTGTTTCATCTGACTCAGTCACGCGGAGCACCTGGAAGATGCTTTGCACAGGGCAGATGCCGGGGAAGTGCATGTGCAGTGAGTTCAAAGGATGACCGCTGCCCATTTTATTGCCAGCACTACCTGTTAATACCTGAAGCTTAACCTCCTTGGCCTCCCCCTGCGTTTTGAATATTATGCCATAGCTACAGACTAGGATTTTCCCCTTCCTGGCCTTTTCTCTCCTTGTTGACCTCCCGTTCCTCTTGGCTTGCATGTTGCAGTCAGAAAACCCTGCTGGCTGTTAGTCCTTCCTTGCTAGTCTTCCTGACCCTAACCGGCGGTCTTGCGTTCTTCTTTTATCCCCGAGTGTGTGTGTTTCTCCCAATATCCCAGGGGCCCAATTTTATAAGCCCTCCCCCAAAACCCCAACGGCCCCAAAGTCCAGAATCAGGTGTATAAGAAAATGCAGATTTTCTTTTCATTTCCCTTGTCGACAAGAGAAGGGGCTCCATAACCAAGGCTTAGACCCCGTCGGAGCAAGAGAAGTTTAGGCAACCTTGTGGTCATTCCTTTTCCAGACTCATTAACTTAAAAGGGTTTGAAATAGCTTCTGGAGGAAAAACACAATGTTGTGAAGCTGTCTTCTGTCTGCCTTTTGAGAAGTCATTTGCAGTTGTCGGTAAAAATCTCTTAGACATAGCCTCAAACAAAACTTGTTAATTTAGAGAGTTATAACTTGTCTTTCAAAAATGAGCTACACTGTCTTTTGAAGAATGGTGAGGAAGGCCAGGAGAGAGGTTTTGTTAGAATGCTACCTAGTATCAATTAAGAGGCCTTTAACTAAGGGTATTTATTAAACATATCTTTTTATCCATATGCATTACCTTGTTACGTGTTAATATAAAGGTGCCCCCTGTTTTGGAGTGGTGTTGGTATAAACAGTAAAAAGTTCAACCAAAGCAAGTTTATCAAGTTTATTGCTGCTTTAAGTAATGATTAACCCTCTCTTCATTGTCCTAGACACAGGATAACTACTATAGACCTTGTTACTTTTCTAGCAAATAGTTTCATAAATAATAGATTGGAAAAGGAATTGAAGTGCAAAGTAATAAATATGTTCCCTTGGAGAATCATCCTGAGCCTCGTCTTGAAACTGCATGTCAAGTTAAAAATATCCTGGATCATATTATCTGGTAAATGGGAGTTTATTTCATGAGGCAGAGGAGAATGCCTGCTTTTGGCTCAGCAGCATTTTTGAGTTCCAATTTCACACTGAAAAGCCCTTGTGATTTTACAATACTGAAAAGAGAGGCATTTTGCTCTTTTATGAAATGTCTGACTTTTACCTGTTATTTTCACTAATCACTGACTTAATTTATAAGTGCTGTCAGGAAGGGAGCAGAATCGCCTTGTGATTGGCAAGTGACATGAAAGTCATTGAGTGAGAAGGGGCAGCTGGGCTCTGCCTTCCCTCCCAGCAGCCTCCCGTGTCTGTGCGAACAGCCGTGAATGCTAGTTGCTCTAGTTGTAATTGTCTGGCCAATGATGATTATCTTCTGATGTCGGCTGACACGGTGTTCGCCAATAGGAAACCAGGAGGCCTGTGCTGACTGCTGAAACATTATGTATGTGAGGTGACGTCATCGCAGGGCTTGCCTAGAGCCTCCTGAAGCCCTCCCCCGCACTGCATCCTGCCCCTTTGGCATCCTCCACATAACCAGCCTTTCAAGCTTTGTATATTTGTCTGACTTTTCTTCCCTTCCTCCCTCCGTGGTGATGGTTTTAAGGGTTTTAATGTTTTTATATTTTGTGTTCTGTATTATAGGGTCTATAAGAAAGTAGGAATTTTTAGAATTAAATACTGTGTGGCTAAGAAAACCTTTTTATTCACAAATTTGTTTTTACCAAGGAATAAAATTAAGAGAGACACTGTTTAAAGGGAATTGTACGTCTATCTGTTCTTTCTTATATGGGAGGTTTAGAAAGTATCATGATGTACAATTTCAGTATTAAACAACGTGAAAGCATTATAAGTCTGTATTGGTATTTTACTCAAAATATAGCATCATGTCTGTCAAACTTTTAAAATGCAGGTACAGGATCAGGCTGTTGTTTTCCTGTAGTGACAGTTGCTTTGCACTGATTTCTAAAATCCTTGTGACCTGCTGTATGCCTTTGTAAGAAAAATAGCTGGAAAATAGTGTGATCTGTGGTCATGACACCGAAAAGATCACAGAATCTCATTTAATCAGTGACTCTACAGCAAATGCAAATTTGGTCAGCTATCTAGGAAAATACTGTGTCCACATTGTACTCATTATGTCGCTTGCCACTTATTTTGGAGAATCACGCTCGTGTTAGCCTTAGGATTGAAGAGGCTTAAGTGTGCTGAATTTAACATGCCATTCAATACAGTTTAGAAAGCACTGGTATATTGGCCTAATATGCACTAGGTTAAGAATAAGAAGGCTGAGAAAATGTATAGAGAAGAAAAATATGATCTACGTTATGATCCTAGAAAATAATGAAATGTTGTGTGGGAACTTTCATCTGAACTTTCAGGTATCTTTTAAAAAATGATGTATAGGGGCCGCCCCCCTGGCCAAGTGATCACGTTCAAGCGCTCTGCTTCAGCTGCTGGAGTTTGGTTGATTCGGATCCTGGGTGTGGACCTGGCACCGCTCATCAAGCCGTGCTGAGGCGGCGTCCCACATAGCACAACCAGAGGAACTCACAACTAGAATATACAACTCTGTACTGGGGGGGCTTTGGGGAGAAGAAGACAAAAAAAAAAAAAAGATTGGCAACAGATGTTAGCTCAGGTGCCAATCTTTATAAAAAAAAATGATGTGTATTCATGCAGTCCGTTTTTTTTTAGGATTCTCAGGGATAATGCAAATTATTTTATGATTATATTATTCATCTCTATATTTGCATTAGTTATAAAGAGCACATGGTGGTAAAATTTTTACATAAGGCCTTTCATTAAATTAGAAGTTAAATTTGCTGTCTAGAGAAGGCTGCTTGTTGCTTTTAATGTTAGATGATGATAATTTTAAATGTATCAGGATCACATTGGAATTTAACTCTAAAGTCAGCCCACTCCAGATCTAAGAGTTGTTTTGCAAGCTTCCTTGAAAGAAGACTCTTTCTAGTAGTTAGTGGACAAGCTGTGAGGAGGACGGAGACTTAGAAACACTTAGGAGGACATGGAATAACCATCCAATCGGTCTCTAGCCAACAAAGTAAAATGGAGGAGTGTAGCACTAGTCAGGCAGAGCAAGAATTCGTCTTTGCTTCAGTGGTCTGGGTATTTTAGGTCCAAATAGTTTCTGAAATGAGTTATCTAACAATTGTCTCAATGATCCACTTAATTTTTCCTGTGCGGACACAGGTGAGCTGAACTGTCCTTTATTAATAGGAAGCAGACAACAGTCCACAGCATCTGCCTTAGCTCATTACATGTACCCTCTACCTTTTCTAGGCCCTTGCTTCAAATCTGCCTCCTCCCAGTTACCTGCCATTTATCTTTGTTAGGAGAGCCGAGGCATTTACCTAGGAAAGTTACCTGTGCCACAGATAGTATTTCTATTGATATCCCTAGGAAATCTGAAGGAAAATACATCTTGGCTTTATTGAAATGTTCAGGCTCATAACTTCATCCTTTGTCTATATTGTAATTGTTTATGTGTGCGTATAGGCAGGTACAAACGTGTAACGTTGGCATAGTGCCTCAGAGAACTTTAAAAAGCAGCATCCCTAATTATATTTAACTTCCAATAATTTTGTTTTGGAGATAGACTAGTACTTTTAAAAGAAATTATTGCCCTAGAGTTAGAAATGAATTTGTAATTTTAAGTTCACTGAGCAGAAACCATCCCAAAGCATAGGTGCATGTACGTCATCAAAGTTCAAGCTTATGTGTTTATCATGATTCATTTCCATATGTAGTATTGAGCACTCAATTTTGGGTTTTAAGGTTCCTTATCCTAGCATATTGGAATGACAGGTACTTTTAGGAAAATTTTTGTTTAGTCAGTCACTCACTGTGAACTTTCTCAAATTTAACTTTAACCTTGTCTGCCAAAAAAAAGTACACGTGAGGGGCTGGCCCCGTGGCCGAGTGGT